TTAGAAAGCAAAACCATCATGTTTTACCCCTAATCGTTCTGGTTTTAATAATAATTTAGCTTTTTTGCTTAGTTTATCCAACATATTTTAATAGTATTAGACACCATATTGAGACTTACATGTCTTAACAGTCAGGATTCCCTTTCAGACACCCCTGCTGGAAAAAATCAGACCAGCATGAATTCCATGCTGGTCAAAACTGGTTTATTCTGTTCTGGTGCTGGTCTAGTGATGGTTTACCTGGTCACCCAGCATGGCTATGCTGGTTGACCAGCATATCAACATCCAAAACACAACATATTCTGGTTTTGCTGGTGACCAGTTTATTAATTTCCATTGCTGCTGACCAGCAATCCAGCATCCAAAACATTACATGTGCTGCTTGTGCTGGTGATTAGCCATGCTGTTCTTTCTAGCAGGGACTAAACACGTCTTGACTGATCTGCTACATTTGTGGTAAGGGGAAAATCTGATTAGATAAACCAAACCAGGACTGTAAGCAATGGTGGTTGTCTATTTTGCCTCCCTTACACGTTTGCTATTATCCAGTTAGCCCTAACCCATCCATTTGTTAGGTCAATCTTTGTCCCTATGAACAATTAACAGTTGATATAACAAAAGTCATGTGGTAAATCGTGCAAAGAGCAGCCACCAAAGAAAAGCTAAAAAAGTCCAGCTCGTGTCTCAAGAGAAGAACATGGGAGGCAGGACAAAAATGATCCTGGAAGATGAATGCTCCCAGTCCCTGCTGGCTTTTTTCAGCTGCAACACTAGGGAAAGCGCCCTGAGGCCCAGCGCCATCCTGCATGAGGGAGGCAGGCTGAAAGAGCTGGCATGAGCGATGGTCTCCTGCTAGCACTGAACCCAAGCTAGCATTATGGAGGCAGACAGGGACTGATTAGCCCTTCAGTGGCTGTTGGCATCTACAGTCAGTGAAACAGTTTGAAGCCTGTCCTTTTGCTCAACAATATGATCATTTCATAAAACATAACTTGTAAAATCTTCAAAGAATTACGTTGCTGATTACACGTTTTGTCCTAAGATAAAGGCTAACATGTAGAGTGTAGAAACTAGTGGTGTTTTGTTTTCTGAATGATGTAGAAGACTGCACATGTATTTAAACCCTCCACTGATGGCAAGGCCTCACCTAAAGCTTCGCTTGGCCACCTCGGTGTGTGACATTTCAAACGATCTGTCCTTCAGATAAAGGATATTTGGAACAGACTCTGGCGTGGCCTGCCATTAAAAATCTTAATTAGCTCTATGGCTCTTAATCACGGAAAGAGCAGTGCTCAGTGATCTGTTGCAGGGTGGAGGACGGAGCTGCCCAGGTGTAATGTGAGAGCTTGAAATAGAGACAGGGTAGCCCACAGAGAATATGCCTGGCTCACAGACAGATTGATAAGCAGAAGTAACCGAAGGTTAAAGGAATAGTTGGAAAAAATAACATTTTTACAGTTTTCTCCTTATCCCAGATTGAGTCAATCAGCCAAAATATTAGTGCATATCATTAGTGTTCAATGATGTCTTAATGCAGAAACCAAGAAATAAGGATGACTGTTTAAACAAAGCTCCTTCATTTAGTATAGCAAAATGCTGACTCCTACAGTCTTCATAAGGCAACACCCAACTGAAGAGGAAAAGTTTCTTTAGGGGCCAGGTAGTGACATCACAAAATTACCTCCCACCAACAAAACTTAATTTATTTGATTTATTGGATTTAATCTGATTACCACTTATACAACGATGCAAATTTCTGCTAATGCCTCTATGGGATTTGTGCCAAGCTAACAGTGGTGTACATTCTGTTTCCATACTGGTTTTACTGCTACTTATACATTAAACCATAAGTTGGACAAGCAGTTTTCATTTTTAAAGAGGAGCAGCTTGACAAGGTCTTTGTTAAAAGTAGGCTCCTCATGCTGCTACTTCAGTGCTGGATGTGCAAGCGGTACAGATTTAAAGCTGTCTGTGAATGGGAGACAGAATGTGATGCTACCAATAAATGAAATAAAACTGGAGTGTTACCTCAGTTAGCTAACGAAAGGTAGATGAGCCAGTAAACTGTGTGGATTGGTTCCAGGGTTCTGTATAGCGAGTGTGATGGTATGTTTTGGTGCTTTTGCACAGTAAACATTAGTGTTTGTGGTATTACTGCTCAAACACTAAAGTAAACAAATTTGTAAGTCTATTAGCTTACAAATGTAGATCTGGCCGTTTACAACATTGAAGACTGTACAACACAACTTTAGACTGGGGAAAATGTGAAAATGCAAGATTAAAACATAATACAATGAGGTATAACTGACTACATTCTCTCAATCTGCACAACACTGACTATGTTCAAGTAAACATTAGCAGCTAACTCTAGCTAAGCTCAATGGATAACTTGTCATGAGATCTTACCTTAGTAATACTGTAGTCACAGCTTTCATGGAAAAATTAGGAAATTGCCACTGTGTTAATGTTTTCCCTACTATGACAACTTCCACTGCATTGTATACGGAAGTGTGAAAAGGGTCTATTGGTGAGGTAACTTACATGGCATCGTAAATCCAGTGCAAAACTAAAGAAGCAAACCAAAGGACACCAAACATGGCTGTTTGAGTGCATTTAGGGAAAATGGGAAATGAGTGTGAATGTGATTTTTGGCTGATCTATTCCTTGAAGTCAGAGCTGTGGAGCACGTGGCATTCTCTGAATGTCTGTAGGTCATCAGCAGGTCGGCACATAATGACTGCCATGGCACCAATGAATGAGGTACATAAAAAGCTGTCCTCTTGATACACATGGCACAAAAGAGTCCATCATCACAGCGAGTTATGCTAAGTATGGCTGCGTCCAAACCTGCATACTACTATACTACACATACTACACTGGTAGTATGTGGTTTTAGATGCAGCATATATTTCTAGTATGCGCCATTTAAATACATGGATCTAGATCTTAGAGGAACACACTGTCTGAATTAGGGTACAAAACCAGCATAAATGCAAAATTATCATGTCAATAATAATATCAATAATAATAAGCTTTTATCTCATTCATGATGGCTCTTTGTGTGCACTCACACAGGCTAATGCTTTCGGCACAAACAGCAGAGCGTACAGTTCTCTCTGCCCCAAATGTTCATAAGATTTATCGCCCTAATGTGGTTTTGGTCACTTTATATTACTGTGTATATACATAACCCAATGGAATTTTTCAAAGCACACAAAACATCTTCTGCTATCATACTGATCGATCAAACTGAAACAAAATAAAAGTGTTTGGACTCCAGTGGTGACAACAAGCACAAAACAAACCATGCATTGTTCCAGCTGTTAGTTTGTGTATTCAGCACTGTCAGCAGGGAATATGTCCCTCATTCCCATCCTTCAACATTCTTCAGTTCTTTTGAAAAAGGCTGAGCATTTCTACTGTACTGTTCTATTAAAAAGCATGACGAAGAGCAAAGCACAAAAATGAGCCGTTGGCATAACACAATGCCCTGTACTCACTTTAGGATATCTGATATGCACATCTGCGCTAGAATACTCTTTCAATCACCATCTGTAGCTTAGAGATTTCCTTGGATGGTAATATAGGTACATGGGTCACTGACAAATAAGGTTTTCAAAATGACAGTTTTCAAAGATCTTATTAAAAAGGACATGATGTACATGTTTATATCTGCATATATGTTTGCAAGTTAGTGTTATTAAAGCTTTTACTTGTCTCTTTCAGTTAAAACTGCGCTGGTCTGGTTGCACCATTTGACTTACTGGTTGTGCCTCCTGACTTTTCAGACTAATGTCAACTTAAACAGGCATCTACTTAGACCCGTAGAAACTTTTGTCCTTGAACATAAGTTTATACTTACATTCTTTAAATGAATAAACATAATTATAATAATTACACATTTTCATGGTTTTGCAAAGGTCACGCCACCTGAACCATGCTAACCATGAATCAAAAATGACATTTTTTTCCAAAATTTGTGAAAGGGCTACTGGCCTTGGCCTTGCACCATGAAGGTCATTTGGGGTTTTCTTTCTGGTGCAATACACAGTCCCTTCTTTCATAAAAGCATGTCAAAATAAAAGTCCTTTGTTTTTGGTTGTGCCGCCTGACATTTCAGGAAGCAAGAACTTGAGGACAAAAGTTTTTCAGTTGGGCATTTTTAAAATTGCCTTATTTTTCAACATGTTTTTTTTTATTTTAAAGTTTTCAAACATAAAATTGTAACTATTTTATTTAGAATTTTACATGACTAAATTACCATTTTGATAGCTGGACGGTTGCACCACCTGACATTTTTAGACCTTTGGAGGCAAAAAGAAACTGAAATGAATTTTATATGGATGCACTGAATATTGTTTCACACAAAAGAGGCATTGTTAAATAATTTGATAAATGTCATGTATTAACTGAATTATTTTTTGGGAAAATAATGGCCTTGGTCTTGGAAAAAAGGCACGTCATATCAAATCACCCACATACTCAAAAACACTTCAGCATGAGTTATTGGGGTTTGCTGTCATTCTACTGAAGCACCTGCCCCAACGGCTTCTATTATAAATGAGTTTCTATTATAAATTAGTCTATTATAAATTAATGTTTTTCCTGCTCTTTTATATGCAGCAAATGGAGTCTAGGTTGAAAAATGCAAGAGTATCCCTTTTATATCACATTTCAAGGAGACCTGCCTTGTCCATCCAGTGCAAATATGCTGTAAAAACTGAATCATGCACCAGCTGAATTCTCCACCACCTGTCAAGAGCTGGATCAGACTGGTTTGATCTGAGAACCCCCCCCCCATCATAATGTCATGAGGAGGCGGATTACCTGTTCAACGGTCCTCCCCTCGCCTCCTGCCTTGACACACTCGCCCCTGAGTCTGTATGCCTCTTGCTGAGAGGGGGGTTCTTCTTGTTCCCTCCCTCTCATTTCTTCAGGCGGGAGCCGTGACGAAAGCAGTGCGCCTATAAGAGCGCACCAGGTGGGACAGGGGAAGGGCGAGGGAGCGCGCCAGCACCACTGGGCCAAACCAACCAGCCAGCCAGCCAGCCAGACACACACTCACTCACTCCTACACACACCTCTAACCCACCCACCATGCTCTCCAGCGTCTCCGTTCTCTGCCTGTGCTCGCTGCTGCTGCTCAACCTGGCCGGTGCCAAACCGCTCTCCGGTCTCCAGGTGAGTCCATCTTTACGCACGGCAAAATGATCAACTAGCCTTTGAACTGGCCTCATTTGAGCGCGTGTGCGGCTTACATACGAACAAAAACATCACATCAGCATCACATTGCTTCTCGTTTTCGCACTTTTGGGGACGGTGTTGATGGAATTGGTCTTTTTCGCGTTTACGCATTTGAACCAAGTCCATTACAAAGCGCTGCTTCACTCCAGCGCTGCTTTTGCGCAAAGAGCTGCTTGTCATTAGATATGAATAGATATTGTTTGCGTTCATGTATATACTCAGCTGTAACCTCCACGATAGATTTTAGGCTGAAAATACACTGCATGTAATGTACAAATGTGCTCATAAGACGTCGATACAACACAGGAAAGAAAGTCTGAGTCTGTTTGTTAATGTTTAATCAGTCTTTTTTATTACTTTTTATTGGGTTTTACAAACGCCACGTTGCATTGTTGGCTAGGATTTATAAGCATGTACTTTTCTCCAGAACAAAAAATATACTATAAACAGAGATATGTAGATACAATTTTTTTTGCATTATTAGTTATTTCTGAATATACATGATAACATGCATGTCTTAAAGCGTCGTTACTCATAGCGACTAACTTTCACCCATCAGACCATCAAAGAGCTTCTGGAAGAGGAGCAGGAAGCCAATGTGCCTTATTTGGGCACTGAAGATGCGAGCATGGAGCACAGAGGCTCGAGCCCGGAGGATTCCGGAAATGAGAGCGCGCTGGAGCGCGTGCTCGGAGACCTGCTGGCCGTGTCCAAGCGCTCGTGGAGCCGCTTCAAGAAGGGTGGACTGCGCAGCTGCTTCGGGGTCAGGCTCGAGCGCATCGGCTCCTTCAGCGGGCTGGGCTGCTGATCGCCAGGTAACGGCAGGGGTCCAATCACTGCAACGCACTGAGCAGATAAAGAGGAGGCGTCTGATTTTATTTATACATCTGTTCCATGTGCAAAGTAAATACATAGATAGATAAACAAATAAATATATAAATAAATAAACAAATAAATAAAATGATTTTATTATAGTCTGTTTTTTTTATAATTCAAAGTTTGCTACTTTATTTTTTGCAGGTTCTGTGTGCTACTGGAATAGGGGGCACTGAGACCCTCCTTACTTGAAACTCTTCGGGCAGGGCATATCTTTTTTTTGTTTTAATATTTTTAAAACTTTATTTTTGTTTTCAGACTATTAACTCCAAGTTCCAAGTTTACAGTGGATGTGTATTCAGAGCACAGTGAAAAAAACCCTGCTTTGAATTTACTTGCTTCAAATGTGCACATCGCCTTCACCGCGCATAAAACACTCCACTACATGAGAAAAGCACGTTAAGTGGATGGAAACTGTGCTGATGTCATATTTTGAAGCAGGTAAATTAAATGCACTTTTTTCAGTGTATGGTCTGTTGTCTGAGTTATTTATTCAGTGGCAACTGTGCAGATTTGTAAATAGCTTTTTTTGTAAACCTATCGTCTATTTGCTGCTTTTTACTGTTTCTTCAATGTATCTATTTATTTCTTGTCCAGATCTGTTCATGTTATAGAGTGTATGTGGAGGCCAAATAAATATTTTGCATAATAAATGTGATAAGCTGGTGTGAATCTCCCTAATCTGCATTGATGTTGGACTGAACACATGGTTTTGGCAAAGAGAGGCAGTTTTGAGCACAGGAATGACGTGGAATCGATGTAAATCGCTGCTGTTGGAACACAACCTCATACCTCCTTTTCTGTCGTTTTTCTGTTTTTGACATACTTCGAAAACACCGGTTGCCCTTTACATAGTGTATAAATTTCATGATGAATAGACCAAGAGAAATGGCCCAGAATGATGGTTCCATTGACTTACATTGAACAGCAGTATATTTACAAAGTAAAGAAATATTTACAAAGTAAAGCCAAGCTCTTACAGTAAAGGCCCAAAGGTTTCCTGCTTTCAACGATTAGAGGTCACAGGTTGAGGCCTTCCTGACCTTCCGTCCATCATACATATAAAAGTTGGGTTTTGGTAGTTTATGTTGGAGGAGGAGCACATAAGCCCCTTCAGACTAGCTTAGAGTTGCTGCATGTTAGGCTACTGCAGGAAAGAGGGTTTAGAGTCTGGCCTACAAGTTTGTACATCTTCAAACTGTGAAAACTTTGGGCCAGGTGACTTTAGTGCTTGGGCCAATGAAAGCAAAGCTCATACCTAAATGAACATTGAACAGACTTAGAAGTCTGCATTAGAAAAAGTACCTCTTTAGTTTCAGCATCTCAATTCACTTACACATTAAGCCAGTATAGGTCCACACTTCAGTTCTTCACTCACACAACTACATAAGTTATAGATCAGTTTCATAGCATCACTAACTTATCAAAACCTTGCAGCTCCTTTTTAAATGTATTTATTTTAAAAATGCGAACCGCTCTTTACATTGGGTGAACACTTTGTGATGAATGGACAGACATAATCCATAATTTTATGGAATAATTTCTCATTACATTAGCATACATTTTACTTAAGAACTATTTTTTTCTTTCTTTCATTTTACCTCTTTGAAGACACCAGTTTTTCTAACAACAGTGATGAAATGCTTTTGCATTTGCCACATTTTTTCCATTATTCCAAAAAAACATGAGAAAAAAACACAAAACACTTGAGAATCACATGAAAATAATAAAAAGTTCTGCATGTCAGAGATCCATAGCTGCTGAGAGTTATGCTTCTTTTGTAAGAGGTGAAGTAGAGTAGCCTAAGCCCACAAGTAGCATTACTGTAATAAAGTGATGACATAAGAAGTAAACAGTGGTAGTAAGAAAAGATCAGATCAAAAGACCTGCTCAAGTACTGAGTTCCCCATAGAACCTCAGCACAAGTTCTTAGAATCAGCATAATGCTGAAGCTCAATAGTGAACAGAACAGAGTACTCCACAAAGTCAACTCCACAATACGTATCAAAAGGAAATACGTATGAAGGAGCACAGAGGACCTTAGAATAAATTTTGATTTCACACAAAAATACTTGAGAGTGAGTGAAAGTGTTATCAAATACGTAGATTGTAAATATGTAGAAAAAAATAAATCCATCAAAATTGTGCAAAATTGAGTAAATGGAGATGTAGATGAGTTACTATTACCTTTTATGTGCACTCTTTTCACTCATATAACTGCATATGTTCCAGACACACACACAGGAATATAGGGGGACTGAATAGTTTCTGAAGGGTCTTCATTTGAAGTTTCACTTGCGAGTGCTTTGAGATCTGTTTCACTGCTATGTTTTTGTGTAGAATTTGGAAAGAAAATCCTTATTGAATGAATAAATGTACAGAGGCTGAATGAAGTGATTCACATCTCAATTCTTTGACTTACTCACTCTGTTTCTAATGGAAAAGGTGTACATTAGCCTGTTTTTTGTAGACTTTTATTGTAGTATCTCCATTTTTTTAACTTTTCTACATCATTTGAACAAGGCAGCTGTCCTTTACATCGTGTGAAAATTTTATGATGCATGGACCAACAGAAATGCTCCAAGCTTGCTTGGAATAAAATCTCTTTACATTAACTTACACTGAAAGTAAAAAACGTTTTTGGCCTCTCCTGCCAACATACCATTTTCTTTTTCTTTGGACAGCAATTATATATATATATATATATATATATATATATACATATATATATATATATATTTATATATATATCCTTATGAGACCTGGTAATTCATTTTTGTCCTCTGTGGGGGACACGAGTTCCCAAAGTATATATACAGGATATACAGGATATACTGTGCTGAAACCTGGTGCACCATGTAGAGGACATCTTGGCCTTTTCAATGATACATTATTTGTTGGGGTGCGTCATTCACAACCGGAGTTCTGCCTTTTCAAAATGGCTGCCATCTCAGCAACCACATTTTATGGGAGCAAGAGAAGTGAGTAGTGGAAAAAGTATGCATTTATGATGTTTCTAAAGCCTATAGTTGATATGCTTTAGGTACAAACAACTTTTAGCTAATTTTCCAAGCACTTATTCATTGATATGCATAAAAGTTTAACCACCTAATCGTATACTTCGTTTGATGACCTCTGTGGTGGAAACTGGAACTTACTAACTCTGTTTTTACATGAAATTCATGGTGGTTACTTTAACCAGTACATTGATGATAAGGACTTTGAAAATTGATGACAAGGTTTTTGAAGTTGTTGTTGATGTTGCAGCAGGAAACAAGAAATATTACTATTCAACATCCTTTTGTCCACTATAAAGCACAATAGACTTATTTTATCTTACAATTACTGAACTTCTTAAACTTGAATTTTTTCTGGGTCTCTAAGGATAAATGAAAGAAGCGTGCACATATATAATGTAGAAATGCATACTTTTCAACGGTGGCACAATTATATAACTATATGAAAGGTATATTTCATGATTTCACAAATGCATTCACAGTCACAAACACACATATGAATAGTCATTTGTATAATTATTAGACAGTAATGTAATCTCTCATTAATAGGTGCTCTGACATTGAGATAGAGAGACTGGCTGTTTAAAATTAAGGTTGCCATTATAGACGCTTAGAAATCTATTTGAAACTACATTTAGGCCTTTGAACTTTTTGGTAATGCTTTCTTTTCCGGTCCTAAGTTTTTGGTATAAACTATGTGTGAAGTACAAACTCCAAAGTACTTGATAATTGTTTTGGGTAATATGATGTAATATGACGGAAAGGTCCAAGACAGTCTAACTTCATTGCACTGAAATGCCAAATAGGCAGACCGAGTTTGGTAAGTAAAGGTACAAACTCTAAAGTACTGTGTAGTTATTTTGGCTAAAATAATTCCAAGAACCAATGCAATTACACTGAAATGTCTAACAGGTTCTGCATATTAAGCAGATAAAGGACATCTTTTTTTACTGTAATGTCATGGTTAAGCAAGAAAGCAAATCAGAAATAGCTCCAAGTATTGGATAGTTATATGGTGTAAAATGATGACACAAAATATATAGATTTCTGAAGTAAATGGCAAAGTAAAGTAAAGCCCAGTAAAACCATTGTAGAAGTCTTGGCTCTCTTTTACAATCCTGATTCAGTTAGGCTTATAGGTAATAGACAGATGCATATTATATACTCGTTAGATTTCCCCTCCCCCCATATAACTATACAAAATAATTACTCAGTACTGTGTTTTATGTTCCTCACATTTACCCAGTTCATACCCTTTGCACATTTCTTTTCTTGCTATTTACCATCTTTTTGCCCAAAATAAATACCTAGCACTTTGTATTTGTACCTCACACACTAAAAATGAAGGTTCCTAAATGATACTTGGCTTAGACTTTGCTTTGGCTTCTAGAAAAAAACATTTAATTGGAGGTTCTTTAAAGAGCCATCCATTGAAAGGGGTTGTTTCAGAAGCCAAAAGTAGAGTCATGCTCTAATCAACCCTTTTTGGCACCTTAAATTGTACATCATAAGCTGTGAAACACTACAAAGCCACCAAGTTGATAAGAAATTGAACTAGACCAAATATGGCCATACTTAGCAAGGTTAATAGCAAGCCTTTATGAATGGGAATGAATGGGGGAGGGGTAGAAAAGCTTCCACGTACCATTACCCATGGCCTCTTTATTTTGGTAATGACTGTTTGTTTATTTTAAGTATGTGAAGAGGATAAAAGAATCAACAAAATAGTGCCACACCCTTTTTAAAGTATTACAACCAGTTTATCTCATGGAATTTCCTCCATTCATGAAAGTCCTCCATCATAAGCATCAGCATATGGTGTGTAATTTTCACGGAAGCACAAGCACATATTCCCGAGCCTGGTTCTAAACAAAGCTCCAGAGATGATGTCATATGGCCCATATCTACCATGATGAAGCTTTAAAAGGACTTATTTCCGACGGCTTGCTTTATCAGAGTAGGTGTTAGAATGCAGCAGGCAATTCCAGACATAACTCTACGTGTCGGAACTTAAAGTATAAAAGAGCTTCGCTGCTCACTTGGGGTCATACAGACAACAGACAGAGCTCAAAAAAGACTCAAAGCTTCCAATAGCATCTTTTCCTAAGGAACCAAGAGAACATGCGTCCATCCTGCATTCCATCTGCTTGCTTTCTCTTGCTCTTAAGCGTTCAGCTCCTGAATGCGCTCCCACTGCAAAGCGGGGCCTTCACTAATGAAGACATGGATGTCTTAAAGGTGAGTTTGATCCTTTTGCTCCAGCAAATCATCTAGGTAAGCAGGTAGGGTTCCAAAAGCCCAAAGGTCTAACTCCTGCCTTTGACCCTTTGCAGCTTTTGCTTGCCCGTCTGGAAGAGGCCATTCTAGCTCCAATGCAAGATCAGCCACAGCCACCCGAAGTGCCAAAGCTGGAGGACGCTGTGGTTTCAGAGGAAGATGGCTATCCCCAGCCTCAGGTGGACGTGAGAGATTACCTCTCAGCCCGAGACCTGAAAAACGTGAAACTTGACTCTGGCTCCAAGAAATATTCTGCCTGTTTTGGGCGCCGATTGGACAGGATCGGTTCCATGTCCACTCTGGGATGCAATACGATTGGACGCAACAGTGAGTTTCTGAAAGTTAGGCCACTCATGGCCACTCCACTCGACCAGTACATTGGTTAAGACATGGTTTTACATGGATGTCTTCGTACATATGAAAGAGTTGGTAATGGTATTGGTATATATGTTATGTATCATCATATATAGTACATATCATCACTTACTATTTCTTTATTTTCTTTTCAGATCCAAAGAGGAAATGAAGTCTTAAGAGGAACTTCTACATTGTTCTCTGCAATGAATGCTAAATGAATTTTTAAATGTGTGTTTATATTTATTAGAATATTTATTGAACTGTCTACATTTAAATTTGTATTTATATGTCCTTAATTTAATGTTTCTCCAATAGCTTTGTATATCTAATATTGTAATATTGTAATGCAAACGTTCAATAAATCTTTTTGAAATTCTTTTCGCATCAACTAGCATGTGAAGTATATTTAAAGAAATGTGTAAGAATTAAGCTGAACACAGACTAACACATGTTAAAACATAAATCACTATGGTCATGAGGCCTAGGTCCATTAAGAGAAAGTGAGCTAAGGACCTGCATGAGTTAGAATGTTTTCTTGTGGTAAAGGTGTGAGTAAACTGGGTCTATATAACTTAAGCAGTCATGAGGCCTAGATCTTTAGGCTATTTAGTCCTAAGCTCAGTTAATTCCCTTGTGTTGCATATGTGACAACAACAAATGTCTTCCATCCATATTCCTGTCCTTTGGGATGAAATATTGTCTCTGTCGAAAAAGAAAAACAAAAACGTGTATTGCTAAAATAATAACTTTATAAGAGAAGGTAAAAGTGTTCTAAACTTGAGTTTGATCCCCAGTGATGGTACAGCCATCCATGGCCGGGAGTCCAAGAGACCACAATTGGCCTCAGTCTCTCTGGTGGGTTGGATGGCCCACCATCTCCCCCCATCATTCAGTGCAATGCTAGCCAGTGCAGGCGTCCGTTAGCTAGCATTCTCCTCCAAGCGTGTTTAGCTGTCCAATGACGTTGCATTAGAGGATTAGAGGTAGTTCAAAAAGCGTTTTGTATATATACCTATATATTTATATATATATGTGTGTGTGTGTGTGTTTTTAAACTCCACTCACTGCGGTGCCCACAGGACACTATATATATATATATATATATATATATATATATATATATTCTCAGTCCACTTTTAAGGTAACCCAATGGAACCAGACATTTTTCCAAATAATTTTGGGCTGGTTTTTTTAGTCCATTCATCGTGAAAGTTAAACACACTGTAAAGGGCAACAGGCGTTTTCAAATTATGTCAAAACCTGAAAAACGACAAAAATGGAGATATAAGATTTTGTTTTTTGTTGTTAATGTAAGAAAAATCCATTCCAGATCATTTTTGAGCATTTCTAGTGGCCCAACCAGCAGGAACTTTCACACAATCGAAAAAATTGACAGATATCAATTTTTTTATGATATGTAAATGCCACATGCAAATGCAATCATTTCAGTGTGAATCACATTGCAATTTCCGTTCAGCACCTTGGAGAGCGAACAAGCTCCATCACTCTAAAGGAAGCTAAAATCTCTTAATATGCATAGTAGATGCTCTTTCATATGACCTAAGAAATGATACAGAGGACACCCTGCCTGTTTACCAAAAACTAAGTCAGATTTTTAGGGAACAGTTTCTCCATGCTCATCAATAAAGCTGTCTTTACAAAATAGGCCTGTCTGTCAGAAGGCACCCACATAACTCTCTGGACATGGCTTCTAAATTGAGAGGAAGATATTGGGTAAACAGAATTAAGTGAGAAAATGAATGGTGAGTGACAAAGGCCTATCGCATAGGACTTTTCAATTATGTACGTCACCCCTTGAGATACATACACAAACACAATCTTAATTTCAGGAGCCTCAATGTTTTTCATTATGATTGTCAGTCTAACTGACAGCGCTTTGGGTGGGACGAGCAAACGTCAAGGTCACAAAAAAGATGAAGGAAACAAAGTTTGGGGATGATGCGTCATCACAGAGCCTGTTTCTTCCCTAGAGCCCAAACAGAGTTTGGCAATGGACACTCCATGCTCCATTCCTCACGGCAATCACTGGTCATTACAGGATTAGCTGGCTTCACCCAATACATGGCTCACAATGGCTGTGTAGTTAACGAGGACCAACTGGCATGCCCTGATTTACATTCATTATCTTATTCATTAGTAGCAATATTAGAATTGTTAGATGAAACATTTCTTTAAAGCCCTCTGTTCCACTGGGACCTTTGCACGCAAAACTCTCAATAATTGGTGACAGACCAGCACCACTACATGACCTATCTTTTCCTCACCCCTAGCATGACTTCTTCACGCCATTTTTGCAACAGCTCCCTCCTGAGGAGCCAAGAACTCAACGAGACTCTGGTACAGCTTAAAGCAGCTTGACAATATTCATTATGAAAAAGCACCAGAATAAGATTACTTATGACACGTGCCATAATTGGGTCTACCCAAAGGTCACTGCAGCTCATTACATTCAATATTTCTTATTACCAAGACAAGGCTTCCTCAGATCCCCACCCCATGGTGTAGAGATGGAACACCTATGGTCTTACCATAAATAAATGATATATTTAGTGTAGGTTGAAGATATAAGTCGTGAGGTGATGCTGGAACAATGCGCGGCATGTGTAGTGGATGCATGCCTGACAATGGGTGCCACGTCTTCCTTCTGCCTTCAAAAATGCTCCTGAGGTCACCTACTGTTTGTATCCGACTTGCCGCCTGCCACGAGTGTTCGCAACAAGGCACATCACGTAGCACCAAACAGCCACTTAAAAGGAAATCTACCCTGAAGCCTTATCAAAGCTGAGGTGTTGGAATGCACTTCACACGCTCGTGAAAGGATGAGCCCTGGACAGTCGAGTGTCTCTATAAAAGAAGGAGCCCGGCACACAGCCTGGCCAGAGAGCGAGAGTCAAGAGCCATAGAAAGCCAAGGATGGTTAAAGGACTTATTCTAGCAGGACTACTGGTCCTGCTCTGTCACGAGGTCGCCGTACAAGCTCATGTGTTGACTAGACACAACTCGGCCAACAGCATCAGCAAACTTAAGGTACGTCTACAACTTGCCGATTTTTGAAAAAACTATTAAAATGGCTAGTAAGGTTTATTTGTATGACTTTAATGTTTGAACTGAACTAAAAAATGAAGATAATTTACATCTGATGTAAACTCATGGTCTTGTTGAGCCTGCATAAGCTAAGAATGCTTCTTTGTGGTAAAGGTCTAAGTAAACAGGGTATACATCTAAGGTGGACTTAGCAAATTGGATTTGGTTCAGGGTTGAGAAGAACCCTGTTACTTGAGGTTCAGATTCTCTGTTCTCTCATTAACCCATGAATTCAGCTTTGCAGTACAGCCCTAAGATAAAGCAAGTGCAAGTATTTTGTTATTCTTAAACCAACTGGGTGTTATGAGATCCTCCAAAGTTGTATGTATCTGTAGTCTTGCTACTGCCTCTCTGATGGTTCTTCAAGGGTTCTTTAGTAAAGGAAATGGTTCTATTTAGAACTATTTCATGCTTAAATTGTTCTTTTCATGGTGAAATTGTTCTTCAGATTGATGGAGAATGTGTTGTGTGCATGGTTCTACATAGAACCTTTTTGAAAATGGTTCTATAGCACCAAAAATGGTTCTTCTGTTGTTAAAGCTTGACATCATTAATAGAGGAACCCATTTTGGTGCTATACAGAACCCTTTTCAAAAAGGTACTAAGTAGAACCATATATAACACATTCTCTAGTAATCTGAAGAACCATTTCACCATGCAAAGAACCATTTAAGCTTGAAATAGTTCTATATAGAACTCATGGTTCTAAATAGAACCATTCCATTTACTAAAGAACCATTGAACAACCATCTATTTTAAGAGTGAAAGACTACATGGTGTCCCATGCCAACCTGATGATGTAGAACCATCAATCAAAAGAAAGATGTGAATGGAACACCCATGGCCTCATAGAAAGAAATAAAAATGTAGCTCCAGACCTGAGTTGCAACCTTTTGACTGTTGTCCCTACAAGCTGTCAATTCAGTCCAGTTTCCTAAATCCACCAAGATAACCTTCAGAACATGGAAACCCTTTGACCCACTTTTGATAAAACCACTTAGCCCAGTGATTGCAAATCCTAGTCCAAATCCCACTTCCACCCTGAAAGGGTTTGATAACTAGCCTATTAGTTGATTAGGCTTACAAGAACAGGAAAACAGGGTACAGGGTAAGGATACTCCAGGACCACTAGCTTAGTGCTGAATCTTCTCAACTGTGTTCCACAGAGTTTGCTGCAGCAGTTTGAGGAAGCATTGGCAGCAGAGGAGGGCACCGAAGGAGCCGTGGATTACGAGGACAGGAGCCAAAGCCAAACTGCTCTAGGCTGGGAAAGAAACAGGGAGGAACAGCCTCCTCCAGGTGAGGAACCCAGTCCTGAAGAAGACCTTGAGGCACAGAAGAAACACCTCATGGATCTCCTCCTGTCCACGAGGAGCAAAGGCTTCTCTGGCTGCTTTGGCGGAAGGCTGGACCGCATCGGCTCCTCCAGCAGCCTCGGGTGCAACTCCATGAGAGGTTAAACCTCAGACGAGGGCGTCCGTCCAGCTCCGCAAAGAGACTGGATCTAATGTGTTGCTGCCTGCAGTTCACGAGAGCAACATGCTCACATATAGTCCATCATGGCCCCATGTCGAAAGATGGTGAACCTGTCGAGGATTTGCGTGGAAGTTGCGAATACAGTTCGTTAATGATTACATTTTACATTTTAACCTCTTTTGTTTCTCAGTTCTGCCTTATTTCATTTATTTGCTTTTAAGCACAGCTTGTGTCTGCTGATGCACCTCCATTTATTATTTGGTTGGAAGTTGTGTGAGAGCTAATGGATGCCTAATTGTTTTTTTGTTTTATTAAGAATAATAATGTAATAATTGTGTATATTTTATTCACACTGTGCTCATGTTTAAAGTTCAGCCCAGTGACTTGATGACTTTCTGGTGAAGTGGGTATTTTATTCTGTCTGGAAAGGTTCTGCTGTAAGATTCTTCACTGTCTACCTGTATGTAAATGTCTTCTTTCCTTTCATTCGTAAAAGCGGGGAAGGGCAGAGGTCGATCTGAAGTGTTTTTGAGAGTTGGACTGATTTGCTTTTGTTCATCTGCTTTGCTTCATTTTAATCAAAGAATTTTTGACTTTAATAAAAAACAATTACACTCGAACTGCTTTCCAAGTAAATTTTAAGGTTGACTGACAAAGTGCAGGATAAGACTACAATGACTTTACACTGTCTTGGTGTGAATAAACACCTTTTGCAGAGTAGTTCTTCTCCTTCATCATTACAGGCTATGTCATTCTGCAGAATATAGGCTTATAGACGAGATCTAGTGGAAGATCGCTGAAGCCAAATAGCGCCAGTTTATCAGATTAGAACACATTATCACATTAGAATTCATCACCCGTAGCGGAAACTTGTTAGAGTCCACAGGAGAGATGCAGAGTCAGAAATTCTTCTCGCATCACTTCATTCTGGACAACGCCTGCAATCTTGCCTAATGGACCGAGGCTTATTAGTGGCCACAAAACTACAACGCGACAAGGACCTGAACAGCAGCAGCAGGAGGCTATTAGCATTGAGCTTGTCGACACCTGCACTAACCTTTACCGAAAAGCCAGAGTCGCACTGCCTTTAATCCTATTATCTAACCCCAGCAGGGCCACTCATGATTGCATGAATAATGCTTGGGTTTTCGAACTTGGCCATGCCAGACGCCTCTGATTAGAAACCCGCCGTGTTCTTCTTGCTCTCCACGCTCAGCTCATCAAATTCTAACAGACTGTCAAAGGCTCATCTTCGCTAACTTTTCCAGCTCCTCAAATTACCCACACTGCCCACCAGCCCCCAGGAGAAAAAAGGACGGTGTGCTACCCTCTCGTCCAATTAGAGGGCGGCCGTGCGGAGGAGTTGTCAGGCTCCGACCCACACCTGCTGAAGGTGAGGAATGGTGTTAGTCATGCGGCGTAATTAGTGTGCTCCTGAGCACACTGATGAAACAGCCCAGGCCCAGAAAGGTGTTGATCTGCTACTCGCTTCTCTCACAAAAAAAAAACCAAAACGCTGGTCATTAGAGCTGCCTTTGGTCATTGATCATTGGTATACTCACTTGGTACACCGAATCTGTCAGCTTCACTATATCAAAAGGTCCATATAAGGGGTCAGAACCACGGTAAGCACCAGTCTAATCACCCTGGAACAGATGCAGGCTGAGCAGTAGGTTTTACATATTGACTTCTTACTGAAGCTGGTGATAGTGTCACCTCTGCGCTGTTCTGTGATACAGTTTATTCAGTAGCTCCTATCTATTTCACACAGAAGTCCTTTTCTGGACTGTTATCTTGAGATCATGACTTAATTGTCTTGTGATCTCAAGATAACAAGGTGTTTTCTCAGGGTGAGATATCTCATTGTGAGATGGCTTACGATCTCGAGAAAACAACTTTTGTCTTGACATCACAAGACAGTCAAGTCATGATGTCAAAGATTACAATCCATTATAAACAACCAGTATTATAAGAATACGCAGCCATTAAGGAGTCATAACTGCAGCTACTTGGGGCATTATCACTTGTTAGATTTTTCATGTGCACAATCCCAAACAGAGTTACGCAGTGGACGAACTGGGTCAGAATGATGGTTAACACCACCCTAAAGACTGTACAACAGATGCTGCCATACCACCAGTAACTATATTCAGTAGCTTTGTTCTATTTTCAGTGGCTCTATTCAATTCAGTGTTAAAAAGAGCATGTCCGAAATGACATAGCAGGTCTATTTGAGATTACATGACAACTCTATGTGGTTTAAAGCAAGTTGTATGATAATTTGCGTGATGCTAATTGGTGGAGTATAATCTTTTAATGCTTATTAGCAGCATTAACTTTTTTCAAAACTACAGCATTCATGGCCATTTAAACAATGTACACTGACAGTTCCACAATACACAGCCACTATAGAGTCAAAACTGTTGGCAATTGATCATATTTGTCAGCTTCACGAAAGTTTTATATTCCCCACGCCCTTCATTTTTTCATTGAAAACAGCCCTGTGTTTCCAAGGCCCATGTTCCTATTGTGTTTATGTACATGCTGGTTCCAAATAGATTCACTTATCGAAACATTTGATAATTTTAACAACATTCCAAAATATTACCAAGGTCACTATTCATGCTAATAGAAGAATCTTTGCGCACATCCTCAACAATGCCTACCTTCCATTTCAAGACCATTTTTACCATGCTTTTGTTTACTTGCTCTCACCATTTCCCCGTTACTTTATTCTGCTAACTTTGCTAGCTAGCAAGCTAAGGGTTACACAGCTAGCAACAAAAAACAGACAAAGCAATTATTCACACTGTTTGTATTCTACACTCTGACTTCTCAAAGAATGGTTTGAGTTACCAATTTCCAATTACCTCACTCAGGCTAGCCTAGCAGAGGCTTGTTGTTTCCTGCATGACCTGCATTTCCTGTATTGATGACACTGTGACATCAACCAGGGCCTTGAGAACCCTCTTATTTCCTTAATATATTATATTGAGGTTTGATATATTGTATAAAGAGCTAAACATAAGGCCCTGGGAATGTAGGTAAACCCTCATCACAATAAAATAGATCAGAATCAGGGTTAACCTCACTCTAATGATCCTAGAAGGTTGTACAATTAGACTTTTCCTTATCCTAGCCTAGTATTACTTCTGAGCTTATCTGATCACACTACAGTGTATTCAAGAGCTCTGTTCTGTTTCAGGTGGTTCTATTACATTCAGGTTATTTGAGATTACTTAAAACTCTATGATATTTGTAGCATGTGATGATTTAGGCATTAGTCATGTAGCTCGACTGCAAAAAAACACTTGAAGCAAGAGGAAAAGAGTAATTTTTGTAGAACTATGGCTTTAAATGACTATAAATAAACCAGGACAGTGAAAATCTAAAAACACAAGTAGAATCAAAAATGTAGGCCTATGTGTTTCTACGCCTTCTATATTAAACACACATATCAGAATATGAGAATTTGCTGACAGTAAATTGCTGTAATTTTAATGTGTTTTAGTGCTAATGATGTGAATTTGCATCTTGTATAGGGACATGCCCGTTGCTTGAATGGATGGTGACAAGCTGAATAAATTGGATCCCACCACAAAATGTGTTTGCCTGGCACTCCGTCTTCCCTGTCCAGTTAGGTTTCTCTACATCAATTACACCCTCCTACTCAAACCTCCCAAAACGTCAACTGCAATTACAACTGCCCTGTGAAAAGAAGAGGGAAAAATACTTCTAAAACAGCATAAAACAGCTCGAAAAGAAGACAAATGGAGGTCAGTCTAGAGAACTCGTCTGTGATTTCCACACCTGATCCCCTTTGCGCCCACCCACTTGACCGGTGGGAGCACAGAAGACCTTTAGGCAGGGAAAAGAGATCGCACTGTTCCATTCCATTGAGGAATGGCAGACTAGCGAGTGACACATTGTTAGCCTCGTTTCCGAATCGGATCTGTGCTGAAACGGTCCATGTCTGACACATCAACCTCCATTAAGGGGCCGTTCGACGGCTGGCCAGCTGGCGCTGTCGAGATCTTGTTGATGGAAGGCACTGCTGGGAATAAAAGACAGGTTGTTTGTTGGTTTGTTGGGTTGTCAGCACAACGCACCGAGCACCATGTAATGATGTCATGTATACTGCATCTCTGGTGGGGAAGTATTGACTTTGATTAGTAAATGTCTTTCACTTAGTTTTTTTTAAAAGCTCCCCCAGAAAAAAAACTGATATTTTGGTAAACAGTAATTAAACAGATGCAGAAAGTAACCACTTGTTGAACTAACTGAGCACATTAATCCCCTGTAATGTTACTTTTTTGAATATAATTAAATCATAAATCATAATTCTACTTTTACTTGAGTTTATTTCTATAATGAATTAAACTTACAGCCGTTTCTAATAGCCATTAGTTTAGCTAACTAAGCTTAGCTAAATACCTACTATGTTCTTTTACTATTTTCTGTTTTAGTATAACAGCTCTTTATTAAATGTAAAGCTTAGATTGCTTAAATTATTCTAGTCCTAATGGCAAAATCTTCACTGAAGCTTCTTTCTGAAATTGAAAATGTACTATAATTCAAGTGATCAATAATTCACTTGAATGCAAGGGAAAGTTTCACTACAGTACTCTGATTTAAACAGCCCTTGTCAAGGAAAACCAATTTTCCTCTATGTATTCTGCGCTTTCTAAACATAACATTCACTCTTAAGCCCATACCTATTTATGAAAATAAAGCTGGAAAAATAGTCCATGTTAAACTCATTGTTTCTGTGATGCTACCAAAAAAAAACAAAAAAACAACATATTTACATTTACTTTTCAGCCAAGAGCAGCCAACAGCAGTTAGGCCCCGCCCACATTGATGTTATAAAGAGTGTTTCATGGACTGCTTTTTAAATGAATCTGAGTACCAATCGAAACAAAGATCACTTAGATATCAGTCTAAAACACATTGTACAGTAACAAAGGTAGTCTTAATTCTACAAGATAAAGAGAGGCTGGAAAATGGCCATTTAAAAATGAATTACAACCATAATTCATAAGTGGATCTCAGGAGAAAAAAAATACATGAAAGATGTATGATAGACACTTTAAGCAGGTTTTTCTTAGTGCTTTGTCCACACCTGGTATTAAATAAATGACTGAAAAAAGTCAACTCTTTAGTCGAACTACCCAACCAACCAACCAAACAAACAACAAACAAACAGCCAACTCTCCGTTCCGGAGCTTGTCGTAATGTTTATTTGAAGTCAGGTAAAGGCACAGGACAGTGTTTGCATCACTCTCATTGTTGTGAGCTTGTCATAGATAAACCTGGGACAGGACAATCCAGAGGCCACATCCATCAAACATCTCAAAACGAACAAGAGGAAAGCTGATTAAAGACAAAAACTAATCTTACATCAATGCTTGCTCTGAGAAGTTTGAAATGAGGGCTGGAAACAGATATCTGGGATCATCAACTGCCAAAACCATTATCTCCTCATAAAGCTTACAGTTGTATAGAGGGGTGGGGTTGGCTGAATTTCAATTCAGTTCAGTTCAGGTGAGTTGAAGTTCAACCTGCTAACAATTCAGGAAATCAACTATTTGAAGATACAGC